AGGAAGAAATTCTTCACAGAAAGAGTGGTTGGAAACTGGAATAGACTGCCTAGGGAGGTGCTTGAGTTGCCATCGCTGGATGTGTTCAAGTGTCGTTTAGATGTGGTGTTGGGTGATATGGTTTAGGGGTGAACTTGTAGTGTAAGGTCAATGGTTGGACTCGATGATCCCAAGAGTCTTTTCCAACCTGAATTGTTCTATGATATGATTCTATGATCTTCTAGGTGTCTTCCAGCTGATACAATTCCATAATTCTACAATTCTATGACATCCTAACCCTTATTGACGAATAACCTTTACTGATAAATTTTAAAGTATCATTAAAGAGCATAAAGGGCTTTTGATTTCAGATTTTCCATGATGAAGTCTTACCTGGTGTTAATTGCATCATCATCTTTTATCCTATATCAGCTTTTGTGGTGTTACTAAGTGTCAGTGTCAGGAAGATTAACTTAGTGAGCCACACCATCCTCTCAGCACGTAGTACAGATTAATTTAAACAATTATAAGCAAAATCTTTTTTACAGAATTTTTTCTGGTTCTCCAGGATTCCCCATGTTCTCTAAGATTGCTACGTACCAAAAGCAGTGTTTTCCAGAACTATCAGGGCATGTTAATTTTGGGAGGTAGATTTTATCTGGGACTTTGATTTTAAAGTAACAAATACTCGCTTTTTAAACTTTTTTTTAAAAAATCTTGTTAGTTATTAATACTACCTGTTAATTATCTCCAAATAATATTAAAATATTTTCTTCTACATATATTTAAGTACTTTCTTATTATTACCATATTTCCCATTCAACATTTGTTTTTCATTGATATTTTTAGTTCTCCGTACTGATAGTAAGCTAGTAAGCTAGTAAAATAGTAAGCTGCTCTATGTATGTATACATGGATATGAATTAGATTTTGATCCTCATGAGCTAGAAGGTGGCTTTTTTAAGCTTTGGACTGTTGAGAAGGAGTAGGTGGTGCTACTTCTCTTTCTTTTCTCCTTTTCTTTTTTTATTAATGAAACCTTATGATGTGATTATGCACCTCTTTAATGAACATTTAATGAAGTATTTTTCAACTGCTACTAATCATAGTTATTTTCCATACAGATTCTGTACATTAAGACAGAACAAGTCTTGATTGCCTGCACGCAGGTGACCACATCGGGCTTTTATTCAATTGTACACAGAAAAGTGAGATTTAGTATAGAATTTCCTGCAACTGATAAAGTAATTTCTTACATGAGAAATTGATCAGATGCAATTTTTAAAATTTTTAAAGCCATTCCAGTGGTTGTAGCATTCATCTGCCACGCTATAAGAACCCTTCACTGCATCACAGATTTTTTTCCTTCCTATTTTTTTCCTAAGCAAAAGAAACTATGCAACCTGTTTAGTGTCCTGTTTGGTTGTCTTTAACATACCTTCTAGTATAACAGAACTTCTCTTGTACCTCATCTTGTGATTAATGCACTGATCTATAACTATTCAAGATATTCTTTTTCTGAATCTTTGATAACACTAAAACACATAATGGTACAGAATTGCTAGTTCTACTTCTCTCCATCATCCCTAAGAAAGGCATATTCAGTAATTTGATTATTTTTAATTATATCTTACCAGAATTAATTTCTAATAAGACCTTTTTCTTTTTTCTTTTCAGAATTAGGAACTTAGACATTTTCATTTTCGTGTCTAGAGCTTCTCTTCGTAGCCAGGTTAAGAATTTATTCTCTTCCTACTTCTGATACTTTGCTCTGCTTTCATACATAATCTTTTAGGTGTTTCCTCTTAGATGACAGACTAAAACTAACTCTAACCAGCCCCAGCCTGTCCACAATGTCCACAAGTTCTCCTCTGGAACAGTGATTCAGTATTCTGCAGAACTCTAATATAAAGGTCATGACTAAAGTAGAACTACTGAGGTGAGCTCCTTGTGAGTCACTGTGGTCTCCATCTTTTTCTGCATGTGAAAAAGGTGAGGAGGTCCATGTGACAACATGAGATTAATGACCTCAGGAGCAGAATTCTATTCCTGGCCATGGAAATGCCAGAGGTGTGTCTGGGAAGTGTTCTGGTAGGCTGGCAGGTGACTGTCCTTTCATGTCTCATTTAGAGTTTCAGGATATCACTTGCTCCTAGCATCCAGCATTGAGTAAGTGGGGGGATGAAGGCTGAAGGTTTGACAAGACTGACAAGTCTTGAAGATCTGTGAGTGAGCATATAAATAAAGTCAAACCATTGCCTAAACCTAGGCATCTACCACTGTTTATTGTGTCCTAGAGCATTCGAGCTACATGTTGCCATATATGACAGCACATCTAGGTCACAAAGGTAGGTAGAATTGTGCCTTTCTGAAGAAGCAGCAGGATACGTAGAATACACACCAAAAATTTAAAATAGTACTGCATGCCTGCAGCTTTTATAATCTTTCTTCACTTCTTCGACCTGCTTCTGGATCTGGATTATGTGAATTCTATAATGGATTCTATTATGTGAGATCTATACGGATTTCTTCCTTGACAGTCAGTGTAGTCAAAAGTGTAACCATGACATTCTTGAACTGAAGTGCTTACTTTGTTTTAGAAAGACAGGCAAATCTATCTTGTTCTTTGCCCCTTCTAAATTTATGCAGACTATCATAACAACTGGGGCAGCATTTCCAGGTTAAGATCATGATAATTCTTTCAGCGGATTTTTTGGTGGTGACAAATGATGCTGGATAATGATTTTTCAGACTTCTTAAAAAGCGTGCTAGGCTGAAGATCAAGTAACTTCACTTCTAGTCTCCTGTCAAGTCTTTACACATTGCAAGACTTACAGAATAACACAATGCACTGTTTTCTTACGAATAAAATTAAAAGAATATCATCATTTAGTGGGTAATTTTTATATTCCAGAGATGTTGTTTTGTGCTTTGATATGGCAGCTTGAAAAGCTTCAAATGTATATCAAATCTTAGGAGCTGAGGAGCCAGCCAAGGTGTGAAACCAAGGTGTAGGATAGACGCTGTGAATGGGTTTATGATTTAGTATAGGTGCCTGTCGTAGACATCTACAGTGATGCCAAGTGCCTCATGCTATAGTGAATGGAGAACACGACAGTATATGCAAAGGTGCCTAGAGACTGATTCTGCCCAGCCTGAATAACACCTAGGAGCTGATCAAAGGAATTGTTCCTCAGGCCCCAGTGACTGTGTTAACTAGTGGTAAATTCAGTTGCCTTAGAATAGGCGACTGGTGCCATTTCTGATGCCAAAGCATATCTGAAACATCTACTCGTGGTTGGTAGATATAACAGATGACCTACCTGGACTCGTCTGTACCCTTCTAGACTGGCAACTGGAGGCTTAATGGGATACCTTATGGTATCTCAGCACCATTGGTTGACGATGGTGGAAGCTTATGTTTCTAGTATAAGTGCACACAGTCTTAATTTATAAATGAAAACCATTCAAAGTGATGCAGAGGTCCCTGTCAGAAGACTATACTGAAGCTCTCTAATAGAGGCTGGTGCTGTATTAGCCATCATAATTCCTGTTTATTTTAAAAGATCTTCCCTTTACCGTGGCATATATCACACTACTTGGAACCAGGTGATGACTACCTCAAACCAAAAATACATCAGTAGCAGAGGGCCTGTGAGAATGGCCCTTTCTTTCCACCAGATACCTGTCACCACAAATTTTTTGACTCATTTCCCCTGATGTAATGTGTTGAGGGAGCTCTGTAAAAGCATCCCTTGATTTCTTCCTTGTTAGTTACTTCGCACATCATTTGATGTTAAAGAACTGACCAAAGCAACCTGGGTGATTAAAGGGTTACCTGCAAGTCACATGGACCTGTTCCATGGGTTTTTTGCATGAAAGATGTGACATTTTTAACAAGTATCAATCCAAGGATATTACTATAAACTAGTGATTGATTATTTTTTCTGGGGGAAATAGAGCCCCATGGTCGATTTCTGTGCTTCTTGACCTTTACAATATAATCTCTATGTATGAACCACAGCAGATCCATCTTGCCATCCCATTCTTCCACGTCCAAAGGAGCTGATGATATAGACACTGAATAATTTTCCCCTGACACAGTCTCTCAGCATAGTTCAGTGCAATCTGCTTGTGTTGCACAAAATCGTAAACTCTAGCTGGCCTATGCAGTTTACCTTTGAAAGTCTGGTGACAGTAGTACATGAAAGATCAAAAGAAACCATGTGACCCTATGGTAACTACTATAGATAAGCGTTTACCGTACTTTCCAAGGTCTGCAGCCCTGCCCCATCTAGTAAATATTTAAGATTGCTGTAAATTTATTGCTGCATAGAAAGCTACATCGGACAGGCATGCTGTTTATAAAACAAAGGTAAAGATTTAGCCATATGCAGCAAGGGAGCACATTCCCAAAACTTACAAACCACACCTAAAAAATGAAACACATTGGCAAAGGTCTTAATGCTGTATTATATGACTTGAAATCTCTGAAGTTCTAATGATGACTCTATTTGGTTTTCAGTAATTATTCCTTCCTCTTCCCCACTGCAAAGTGTTTGGTTAGAAAGTGACTTACGGTGTGCAACACCTTGACTTTATTTTGAAGTTGTATAGAGATATATTGAATCCTTATTTCAAAATATATGCAAGTAATCAGGGTTTTACATCAGAAATATCACTTTGAAAAAAAGAACCTGCACTTAGATGCACACAATTTGCTATGAAAGCACGGCATGCAAAAGGACTGATTAAAGCAGAAATTACTGCATTTTTTTGTTTTTAAATAAACATAAAGATCCTAAAAATCCCCTGTAAGGTGGACTTTCCCTTACAGGATAAAATGGAATTAAAATAGCATCAATAAATTGTGTGAGAGACTGTATCAGTCTGTGCATTGATAGTCTGTGCATGCAGGATAAGAACATTGACTGCCTGCTAATCTATTCCCAGATGGAGGTGGATGCAGACGAGAAGCGCCATCGCACACGCTCCAAAGGTGTTCGAGGTACGTCTCCTGCTTCAGTAAATCACTCAAGGCCCCCGCTCAGGGTGACCTTCATCCTCCGGAATCTCTTTGCACGATTCATTCTGACCCTTGCTTTTACACAACCTTTCTGGTAATTTTCTGTAGAAGAGGGGTACTTGTAATAGATGATAAATTTTTATATATTTTCCATCTCTCTGCAGTTCCCGTGGAACCAGCCATACAAGAGCTGTTCAGGTTAGTGCTCTGAGTGTAAAATGTATCCCCATTAGCAATTTAGAAAATTCATGCCTTTTAATGGGTATAATGCACTTTCAAGTTCATTGGTGGTTTGCTCATGCCCTGCTGCACTGATGAAATTAATTCCCTCGAGACTTGCTAATAAAAAGCATCCCCTCTTTTTTTCCCCCCCCTTCAGTTATTTGATTTCTCTTTCTGTCTTTGTTGCCCTCCATCTCTGTAATACCTACTGCTCGCTTTTAGTATAATCTTTCTGCAGCACACCAGCACCTATATAATTAATTCTCTCTCTTTTGCAGCTGTCCCACTCCTGGCTGTGATGGCAGTGGTCACGTTAGTGGCAAATATGCAAGGCACAGAAGGTAATATCTGTAATTTTTCATAATTTAGTGGAGAGATTTGGTAAACAACTTAGCTGGCATAACCTTGATAAACCAAACAATGATAAAAATTAGCAATTAGGCATTCTAGACGGCATTCAGATTCCCTTTTTTTTTTTTTTCTTTTTGTATGTCACACAAAATGTAACTCATATTTTTGCTGAGGAAACTTGTTCTCGTTGTGAATCTTCTCTCGATTTTTGCTCATGTGTTGAAATTAAAATTTGGCCCGACTGACATGTTGATGTCAGTGTGGCTTCTGTTATTTGTGTATTTTGTAACTGAATGAAAATGAGCTTCTGACCATTTTAAGTTCAATGATAAGGTTAGAGTCAAAGGTTAGAGTCAAAGGTCAAAGCCTAAGACAAATCAGTGACAATAAGACTTCAGAGTTCAGATGTTATATTATAGTCTCCTTTAAGAAAATGATTTTAGCTGTTTATTGTTAATAATATATCAAGGTAGCATATGTTACACATGCTGCATGTGCTTCAAAGTAATTTAGAGCTCAGACTTTACATTTCTGTGTCTGCAGTGTCCATGTTCAGGTGTCACATCTGGATAAACAGCAGTCTTTTCTTGAATCATTTGTCCCTGAATTTCTAGTGCAATATTTTGAAAATTTAACAGCTCTAGAATCCATGAATTTTTCTCATGTGCTGTGTATTACATTTGACATATTTTATACAGCTGCCCATTGTAGGAGACAAAATGGCTGATCTTTGGCCATCTCTGTTCTGCATGAAGGGAGGTGTTCAAACCAGTGTTAAATTCTCCTGAAACTCTTAAGATTTTTTCATTCTTGACTTTTTCAGGCTTTAAAGGACTTGCGTTTATAAGAACATGTATTTCACACCACATCTGATAACTGCTTTGTAATGAGAGTATATGCTTTTTTTATGAATTAAATTGAATTTATATGTTTGTGGTTAAGGCATTCATTTGGAACAAGAGAAAATACCACACAGTGACATGTCAGTCCACTCGTGTGCCTTTTTTCTTACCAGTGAATGATGCTTTAGAAGAAGAAAAGCAATATCCCCGATACTATTTTTTTTAAATTACATTTAAACAACATAAAATATCAAATAATTGTATTCTAATTTCTAATCTTTTCTTCACTCACAAAAGTAGTAATGTTTTTATGGTTATTTGAAGGATTTGGTTAGACTGGAACACTGATTTAGAAAAAGTAACCAAAATCATTCTTCTTTAATTCATCTTAAATTCACTTGTGACTCCTCATTTCAAAGCCTGGCTTCCTTTAGTCCATTTTTATTCATGTAAATACAAGGCTCATCAGTAATTAATGAATGGCACCAAATCTTTCTTTTCCCTCAGAAATTTCACGAGCAGTCGACAGTTAAATGACATGATTATAATGTCATTTCTAGTTACAAGATTGTAACCACATGCATTTCTTTACACTTTATGGGATTTGCATGCAGATTTCAAAAACAAGAGTCTTGAAACATACAGAAAGAAACACTTTAACTTAAAAAAGCCTCTTTAGGTTCGGAATTTGATTTATGTGTCTGTGTTTGTGTAATATCACCCTTTTGCGAGAGGAGGAAGAAATAGATGTGAGGTTTGGAAAGATTACATGCAATTTTGAGACGTTAATTCCATATTTTGCTTTCTTGACATGATTCTGGTATGTCAATACACGAACAGACTGAATCTCAGAGCTGTTAATTAAATGAAATTTTGGGCAGATGCGCAAAGAATAAAAATTGGAAATACATCAAAAATTTCTTCTTTTTTTTTTTTTTCCTACTGGCTAAAGAATTTGTGGGGGTTTTTATGTTTTCTTCTCACCCGGATTGCCAATCCACTAATCAAAATATATTTAACCAATATATGTCTTATTTAGTGTAAAAACATGAAGTTCTTTGTTGAAGTTTACAACATACATATCTATTTTCTAAAAGAGCAGTATTTTTTTTTTTATCTAGTCCAACTAACACCTACTAAATTTAAGTTTTTGAAAGAATCTGAGGGAATTTATCTTTTTCTTTTTTTCTCTGGGTGGGAAAGACCTCAAACATTTCTTCCAGAAGGAAATCAGACTGTCTTAAAAATTTGATGTGTTCAGGGAATTGCATATCTCAGCTGATGCCTAACTCAATTCCGTTTAGACTTACAGAGCATTTTAATGAGGTTAAGACCTTTCCATTCACACTACCAGACCAGCTCTTTATTAGGAATTAAATGTATTTGCTTCCACTACATGTAGTCAGAGCTCTCCAGAATTCTGTTTCGTCTCTAACATCTTGAAGTCTCTGGATTTCAGGATGTTTTCTTTTTTTTTTTTTTCAATTGCAATTTTATCCTTGTAATACCAATGTGATGTTGAAAACTCTATTCAGATACCACATTAAACTTGAACTGAAATAAACAAATCCTTTCAAATTTTCAGACAGATTTCAGAGGAGGAAGTGTTGTTCTGACAAAATATTAAGTAGAAGTTAAAGGAGAGTTTTATCCTAGCTTTTGTACCCAAATAGTATTTTTAATTATGAAAGAGCTGCAATGGTAAGGTTAGCTAGGGAAACAAGCAGGCCTAATATGACACTGATGTTTCCTTTGAGGTGTGTGAAAACATAAGACTGGTAGTAGTTAAGGTAACAGCAGTAACAGCTTGCTGCATCATTTTAATCTTTTCGATTTTTTCTTTTGTGTGTCAAATCTTAGTTTGAAGTGAAACCCTGCGTGACCTGGTACCTCACTCTCAGCTCTTAAGTTTGGTGCTTGATTTTAGCTTGTTACTTGGGCATGCTAACAGCTAAAACAGACAGGCTTCTCTGCAGGGCACTTTAGGGCAGGATGCTAGGATCTCTGAAATAAACTCATTGGAAGCGCCTCTCTCCAGTGACTGCACAGAAAGTTCAGAAAGATTAGCATCCCAGTTTGAGCACAGAGGGTAAGTGCCCAAAGTTAGGTTATGTGCTGACCTTCTTTGTATTTAAAGGGTGGATCACTGTCTTTTTTACATGTGTATTTTAGTAATACCGAGAAACCCAAAGTTATCATGGTCCGTCTAGTACTGTCTGTGATGCACAGCATGAGGCAGTGCCTAGATGTTAGAGGTTACACAAATGGGACTTCAGCACCTGTTGTTTAAGCTTCCAGGCCCCTGAGGACAACTGAGCTATTCACAGGCCATTAAAGAAGTGCGTGTACCTTTGCAGTATCAGGTCCTAAAAAATAAAAACAGGTCATGAAAGATTTGAAAACAACAGCAACAAAAAAACCCAAAAAAAACAAAAAAAAAAAAACAAGCCACAGATATTTTCAGGTACTGCTGGAGAAAATAATTCAGATCTTAGGCACAAAAGCCTCTCCCTGGGCCATGATCTTGATGCTGTTTGTTTTATTCACGTGGTAGCTCTTCAGGTCTGTTGTGTGTAGCAGCATAGTAACGACCAGTACTCTTATACATTCAGATTTGTGAAGTGATTTTGACTCATAAGCTTGGTCCAGACCCTTGAATACTTTTAGCTCTGAAGAATCTGTCTGGGTCTACAACAGTTACTCAAACCACACTAGGACACTGTTCTCAGAATTGTGTTTTCAGGATGTCAGTTGGCTAAGCCTGTGAAGAAAAAAATAAATCTGAGTGCTCTTTCATTGCAGTTGGTAGGAACTTTGCCAATTTCATTGATCAACTTTAAAAACAACAGGATTCACAATCTATGTGTACAAGAATAAATTGAAAAGTGAGTCCTGTTCCTGGTCTAAGTTCGGCAGGTGTGAATCCCATCGTTACTCTAGAGTAACTGAGCACAAACTGGTCTGTGTTACTTTCTGAGTAGATGTGAGTGACGGTTTTAGAAATACTACACTCTACTGTGTTGCTATGCATTTAGCATTTTTTCTAAAACACATCATCTACCAAATAGATGCCTATGGTTTGCCATGTAAATAGATATGTAGACACATTGTAAAAATTCTGACTAGATTCCATTAAAAAAATAATGATTGCATGCAATGTCCTATTTTAAAAGCTTCTTAACATCAACATTTAATTTTTTTCTCAAGCAACAAAAGCAATTAGGTTCTATAGTGGAGTAATCACTTGCCAAATACCACATGCCTAGAATGAAACACATTCTAACAAATAAGAGCCCTGAAAAGAATCTTAAGCTTGTAGCGTGGCACTATGTATATTAATTCAGGGTACTTTTAACGCATATATCAGTGCATATGTGAAAGCCATTGTATAGAAATTAAGGCAAAACACGATCTTAGTCAATATGCATCAAATATCAGTGAAGGATGAATTCTTAAGACCAAATGATAAACCCTTCAGATTTAAAATGGAAATACTGATAGACCTTTTTCTATATGATGGTTTTCAGTTGGATTGCTGAAAATAAGAATTGAAATGAAATAAACCAACTTAAACATTTCATCTACCAAGGAATAGTGCATTGCCTTTTCTTCAGTTCATATTGCATTTCTAAGAGAATTTTTTTTTCATTAATCACTGATACAATGTCTTGCAAAAAGAAGTGAGTCTCAAAAAGGAAAAGGGATCATAAAATAATGTTTGGATCTATAATGTATGAATTGTCCCTAACCTTATAAAGTGTATTGCTTTTTAATTTTCCACATATTTCTTGATATCACCGGTTCTTTGTTGCTTTACTAGGCTGTCCCTGTTTCTAGTACATTATACAGATAGGATTGTTTTGACCATCTTTCAATTTTTAAGCATGAGATTTGTCACTTTGTACAGCAGATTTATTTGAATTTATAAATACCTCAGAGTTTAGCATTGCTGCTTTGATTAGGAAAAGCCCCACATACCCTTGAATTGCCTTAGCATTATATACTGTAGTTTAGTCATCTATATTTTAGAAGAGAGTGAGTGAAATGATTCAGGCTCCCAAACTTCGAAATTAAAAGACTCAAATATCTCTCTCTTATTGGAAAATTGTTGAATTTCTGTGGCTTGTTGTGCCATATTTCTTATTCAT